TTTTTTTTTTTTTTTTTTAAAGAAGTGGTAGCCACAACTTCTCTCCACCTGTGAAGCTTGGGTGATGTGCAAAGACCACCTCAAAAGCCTAGAACACATTGACCAGTGCTACGTCCAAAAGATTTTTAGCATAAAGTGCGAGGATCATTGCACAAATGCCAGTGTCCTCACCAACGCTAACACCACCAGCACAGAAGTGTTGATTATTCAACATCAGCTGCAGTGGACAGGGCATTATGTGAGCATGCCTGATGTACATTTACTAAAAGAACTGCTATACTCCCCACTCAGCCAAAGACAAGGAACATGCAGGGGCCAGAGGAAACACTTCAAGGACACCCTCGAGGCAAATATTAAGTATTGATACCACAAATTGGGAAAAAAACAGGCTGGGACAGGGCCACGTGGTGATGCCTTGCAAGAGGAGGTATACTGTACTTTGAGGAAGCCATCTCACCATGGGGGCAGAAAAACCACAAACACAGAAGGAAAGGAAGCAAGACCAAGAAATCGGAGTTCAGCCCTCCCTTTAACTACTACCTATGACATCTGCCAGAAAGTCTGTGGCTTTAGGACAGCGTCTCCCAACCCGTGCACTGTCAGGCATGTCTAGGTGTACTATGGCAGTTTGGGCTGGAGCCATGCCCCCCACCTGCTGCTGCAGACACAAACGGATGGGGAGCATGGCTCCAGCCCAAAACACCGTCCTGCTGGCTGCATGCCACCCCTTCCCATCACCCCCCTCCCCCCAGTCAGTGTCTGGCTGGCTGCCACCCCATGCTCCACATCTGGTGTGCTGTGGTGCTTTTTTAATTAGGCAAGTGGGGCAAAAAAAGGTTGGGAAATGCAGCTCTAGGATCAGCTTCTTAGGTCATCAGTGGACTCATCTACAACCCTTTACTTTACCCATGGGACTGATCCTCCTTGACCATGAGGGATCACTGATTACTATAGAAAGGATGTAAAGAAATTGGAGAGAGAATCTAGTGGAGGGTAACAAAAATGGTTAGGGGACTGGGGCATGATTTATGAGGAGATGCTGAGGGAACTGGTTTTATTTAGTCTGGAGAAGAGAAGACTGAGTGGGGATTTAATAGCAGCCTTCAACTACCCGAAGGTGGTTCCAGAGAGGATGGAACTAGACCAGGGGTGGGCAATTATTTTGGGCGGAGGGCCATTTACCCAGTTTTGGCAAGCTGTTGAGGGCTGCATGGGTAGCCCCACCCCTTGACAACTGCCCCGCCCCTTTGTCACCATCTTGGGACCAATGTCCCAGGGCCAGTGCTGGCAAGGCCCAGGCTGGCAGGGGTCTGTGGAGCCAGGCTGGGCTGCACTGGCAAGGAAAGGGGGGAGCTGGACCAGCACCATAGAGCCCCTGGCTTCCAGGACCCCATACCCCTGCCGCCCTGCTCTGGGGCCCGCAACACCGGTGCAGACCCCATGCTCCCTCTGGCTCCCGTACCCACTCATTCCCAGTGCCCCCCAGCCCTGTGGTACAGGCTGGGGGAAGCATGCAGCCCTGACCCCCTGCTTGCTGGCAGGGAAGGAGCTGGTGTTGAGCACAGGAAAAAACGGCCCCTTCCCTGCCCCATGGCTGGTGCTCCCTGCTGCAGCTGCTTGCAGCCCGCGTAGGGCTGCCTGTGCCTGCTTAGGACAGCCCCACGCACGCTGCAAGCAGCTGCAGCAGGGAGCACTGGCCATGAGGCAGGGGAGGGGCCACTTTTCCACAGGCTTAGCTTTCCCTTGGGCTCCTTCCCTGCCTTCCCCCCCACACTTACCTGAACTTCCGGCACCAGTTCAGCCACATGGTCCCAGGAGAGAAGCCCCTGCTGCGGCTTCTGGCTGGGGGGCAGGGCCAGGCAGGCCCTGCTGTTGCAGGAGACTGCTTGGGCTTCCCCTGGGTCCTACTGCCCCTGGTTCCCATCATTTTTGACAGGAACCAAAGATGGATAAATATTAAATTTCTAAATGTTTTAGGGGCCCCATGGGCAGGATAGAATGGCTTCGCAGGTCGGATGTGGCCCACGGGCCATATTTTGTCTACCCCTGAACTAGACTCTTCTCAGTGGTGGCAGATAACGGAACAATGGTCTCAAGTTGCAGCAAGGGAAATTTAGGTTAGATAGTAGGAAGAACTCTCTCACTAGGAAGGTAATAAAACACTGGAACAGGTTACCCAGGGAACCTCCATCCTTGGAGGTTTTTAAGACCCGACTAGACAAAACCTTGTCTGGGATGATCTAGTTGGGGATGGCCCTGCTTTAAGCAGGGGGTTGCACTAGATGACCTCCTGAGCTCCCTTATAACCTTAATTGTCTATGATTCTATAATAATATCCTCTATTCAGAGTTTCTGTCCTACATTTTGGGGGTTTGTTTTATACTCATGTTCTCAAGTAATTTTCATTTATACATTTGCAAAGTGCTTTACACATATCACAATTCAAGGATAAATTCTCAATTATGTTCTTGACCTGCAGTGTCAAATCACTACCATGAGAACAGATGTTTTAAACACCCATCCCCAATAGTAAAAGCAATACTACTTTCCATATGTTGAACTTCACCTGTTTTTGCCATGTTTGACAAGTGCTGCAGAACAACACCACCAAAGCACACAGTGTGCTAATATGCAAGATCTACTATTTCATTCCCTTTTCTACCACTTTCCTTGTACAGAGGGAAAAGAATAACTTGTTCTGCTACAGGCAATAGCAATATTTTTCTCGTTTGCCCTAACCCAGTGTATATAGTCTTCTTGCTTCCCACTCCCCCTACCCCCTTCTTCAGGATAAAATTTACTGCAGTAATCATCCCTTTACATCCTACCATACCTTAATTTCCAAGTATGTGAGGGATTCTTAAGGAGGTCAAGAGGAAAAACATCAGGAAAATATACCCTCTCACCAAACCTGTCTCAGTTTACAGAACAGCGGTAGGGGTTCCACAGCAGAAAGTGATATGAAAGGGTCTGTGACTTAAGACAGCTGAAAAAAAAAATCACTGTTTTATAACCCTGCTGTTGAATAGTTCTCATTGCTAGAAGAGCTAGGTATATTTTCCTAAGCTGTCTGTACTGTAGTATGTTATAGTCCTATAACCTGTTTAGAATTTCCTATTTGAGAACAGCATTACTTACTGTATGCCATGGAGTTCAAAACACATTTAAAAGTGTATTTAATATATTTTTTAAATATGCCTGCTAACAAAACTGTTGCTGTAAAACTGAATGCACTTGCTAAGATGCACAAAAGAGAAAGCTATATTCTAAACGAGAGTAAGAAAACTAGTTAATCTACCACCCATCTCCCACGTTTAGTAGAATTATGGACAATTAGTGAAGAAATTTAAAAAGTATGGTTAAAGAAAGAAAGCTAGTTGAATATTTTTAGGTAAAGAATATTTGTTGAGTGCTGGGTAATGAAGAACTACTGACAGTGACTTTAGTTGAAAGGAATTTGCTTCCTTTCCCAAGTTTCTGCTTACTATAGATGTACTGCTGTGTTTTGTTTTTAGTGATCATTAAGCCCCATGGCTCAAAAAACTTCTCCAGGTCAACTTGTGCATACAGGGAGAAAGGCTTGCAATAAAATGAACTTCCTGTGCTCCACTAAAATGGAGTTTACCATACCATGTGCAATAGACTTTACTCAAATGAGGGAGATTATTGCTGAAGTTTAAAAGGAGAAAAAAGAAAAAACTATTAGAAAAAGTGTAAATGTTATTCCTTGAGTGATGAAAAATGTATTCCAACTTCTGGCCATGGACTCTAACCATAAAGAAAAGAGCTAATAGAAGCCAAAAGGGGAAAACTATAGTCCAGAAACAGAGAGAAATGAAGAAAGAGTCAGCTTCATTTCAAAGCACAACAGAAGATTGCTTTCTACATTTTTTAAAGAGGAAACAAAATGCATCTCAACTCAAGACATGTACTTGCTTGACAAATAGAATTTTATTGGACATATGAATTAAATTTTACATTAAATATTTCACAATTTAAAAAAATAAATCGAACTTTACTAGCAGTCAGTGTCCATTTTCACTATAATGCAGCTTAAATTAAAAAAAAAGGAGAATGTTAATTATGAAGGTCATTCTCCAAGTACAAAAGAAAGATACTTAAGGAATCACTTCACAAACAGTTCTGCAGGCAAGACTGAGAATAAGCCAAAGAAAACAATTAGAGCTTTATTCAGATTTACATAACACTTGTACATAAACTTTCCTCCTTTTGGAGGACTGATGTGGCAATAGGCGGCAGCTTCCAGCAAACTATAAGAACTATTACTCCATGATAGATAGCTATATATATTTCAATCCGCAATTGAAATCTGGGTTTTGGAATTTATTCAAATCAAGAAAGAGGAGAAGTGTTTAGACATGCATATTGCACACCAGTTTTTCCTAGAGATAGAAAAATAACTCATTTGAGCTTGTCACTGCCTATCTAGTTATTTAGAAATTATTTGTGTCACAAATGTGTACCAAATTCACTAAGGGCAGCATCAGTATTCAAATCACAAAAATACTTTGGCTTAGAGCTGAAATAAGTTGTATAAAATCAGGAAAAGATATAAAAACAAAAACAAATTATTATTGTAACCATCTCAAATAGTGATGCCATGCCCTGCTAAAGGGAAAAATGGATTTTTTTTTTTTGTTTTTATGAAGGCTTGGCTACATTAGACCCACAGTTCAGAGGATACCAAAGGTTAAAGAATTCTGCTTTCAGAACATTCCTGTTATCTTTATACACTGAATAATTAATGTGCTCAGTATGTTATTTCAGCCCAGGCACTGAACCAATACACCAGTTTGCAGTAACTCAGCATCTTGGCCAAAAGCTGGGACCACTGGTTAAACTCCCTAAGAAAACTGTATTTCAGAAAAATCTTCCAGACTCATCTGACGTAAATGACAATACTTGCTGCTATTAAAACTTAACAGTTGTTTCAAATAGGAAGGCTGGTGACAAACTGGGTAGCTTTCAGGCTAAGTTAGCTTTTAATTAGTTTATACGTTCTGCAGCTTTTTAAAGTGGTAGGACTGATCAGGTGGCACAGTTAAGTGGAGGAATACCAACATGATTTTTTCTAAAACCAATGAAGCAAGAAAAACCAATGAAGCAAGGTGGCTCAATTTCAGTATTACTATGCAGAAGACAACATTATTACTTTTAAAATTGGTTAACTTTTTACTGAAGTCCAAGGAGGCAAAGATAAGGCAATCATTTTTAGTAATAATTCCCCAGAGAGGCATAAAAATTTGTTTCAAGTGAAAAGTGGACATTAACTGAGTCATATAATCGTTTTGTGACTTGGTTTTTGTTTCCAATCAGTGACGTGACAACCCAAGTCCAAAAATCACCCCACGACACCAATTTAGAGACCAATTTTACTTATGTCAAAGTAAAAAAATACAACCCCCCCAAACTACTTATATTCACTGAAGGTTAAAGTTTAAAAAAGTTTTAAACCTTCAGTGACTGCAGAATTACTGCTAGAATTATGATATCATGGAAAATCCAGATTTCTGTTGCAAGAAGATTTAGCCAAGGTGTCCACCTTTCATACTTTACTGCTATGGATTCTCAGTTTTAGTTTAAAACTTTAGATACTTTTTATTAAAACATTTAAAAAACAGGCATCTCCATCTTTATTACATAAATACATATAGAAGGGTTTTGTTTTTTGTTTTTGTTTTTTGTTTTTTTTACATACAGGATTATTTTTACATTCTTGTAAACTTATTTTGTTCATCCCCCCCATTCTCACCTTTTACTGTCACTAGCATTACAAAACAGTTTCATTTTAATACATTTTGCCCTTTAGAAAAAGATCCAAATTAAAGAGATGTAATGGAGTAGAAATAGAAAAATAGTCCTTTTAAGTACCATAATTAAGAAATAGCTCTCATTTAACAATACTCAAAGCTTGAAGTCTAAAGTTTCCTTTAAGCTAATGTAAATAAATCATGACTTTAGTTTATACTACACACTTATGGAAAAAGTAAAAGCCACAGCTTTTTCTTAATTCGGCCTAGGAATTAAGATTTCAAATTGTACTTCCACAGGATTCTACACAGCAGTTGAATCAAACAATTCAAAACCTTCAAAAAAAGTGGCTGCAGTACTGTTTTGAGTCATCCAAGCTTATTTTTAAAGTGGATTACTACATTACATAACACATCTTAATAAATATGGAGTTATATTGCTACTTAGAATTAAATTACAGTAAATACAAGACTAAATTGTTAGATCTTTGTCCCTTACCCCTTTAAAACAAACAACAAAGCTAAGATGCTTTTAGAGTTGTCAGTGAAACAGTCTTCATTAAGATTAAATTCTCACCTTTTACTTTTAAAATAGATATGTCAGATAAGCCATCCTGTGTGTACAAAATTTAAGTACAGTATGTTTTGATTAAAATATGTAACTGTTCCAAGGCAAGTCCTTCATACATGGGTTTTTTCAGGCTGCACAGCACATGTATACATTATAAAGTGCTTTTATTAATAAATTATATTGGCAGTAATTGCAATGTCCAGTTGTCTTTAGAGCTTAATTTGGCCTTTTCTTTTGCTTTCTCCCTCTAGTACAAGGCACCTTAAAAATAGGAGAAATAAAATCACCCACATGTGAATAGCTAAGGTTGAAAACATTTGTTCATAATGGTGTTAAGCTACTGACTCTTGTTCACATAGCACCATATGCAACACCCCCAAGGTTCAAATATTACTGAAATCACCTAGAAAAAAAAAAGTTTTCATGTTAGTTTAGAGACAGAGCTAAATCTCATTTGAAATTGGCTCTAACTCCCAAACCATAGTCAGACTACCACAAAGGATAGAAAACCTGCTTCTTGGCTCCAAGTGCTTTACTGCAACTTGGTAATTCTGATGCAAAATAATTTATTTTGCCATCTGTCCAGGGCCTGAAGTTACATTTTGATGCATTGCAGCTACAGATTTAATTTCCAAGGAAAAAGTGCATAGTATTTGATGTTATTAGATCTAATTTTTTAATATTTTTTGCTTTTAGATACTTGACCCCAGCATTCTGCTACACAATTCTACATTTGCAATTTTGCTCAAGCCTTTTATCTACTGCTTAATATTACTGAATTCATAAATCTTGGACATATTTAAAGCATAGCTGGGTCATTGTGTGGAAGCTTTAATCCCCATCTGTTTGTAATTGTGGCTTGATAAAAGGAATAAGCTATTTTGACACAAATGGCAATATCTTTAACATTCTTCATGAATTATTACGGTAGAATAAGGTTTAAAGACTGACGTTTTTCTCTTTAAAAAAGGCTTCTTTTGAAAACGAAGTTACAAACAGAGCACTTCACTAATGAACTTGCATACAAAACTATATTAAAATATTTACCATTTGTTTCCACAGAGATGCTTCACACTTAGGTTACAAAGCAAGTAATTCACTAACATCTGGTAAAGGTCACAACGATGGTCTAAGCACTTGTACAAGGCCCAAGAAGCTAAAAACTGTCTTGAAACCATTATATAGGTGAAGAACCCTCTTAGCCGGACGCATTCAAACAATTTAGACCAAGTGAGAGCTGGCCCTTGGAAAGAGCCCATTTGTTCATCTCAGCTTCGCTAACTGTTGTAAGTGGACAAGAAAAAAAATCTTAAGTTATCCACTCGGGAGCTTCAAAAGATCCTCTTCAAGTCCTGCTCTTCTAGCGTTTTATCACTACTTGTTCATATGCTCTGAAAGAAGAACAAAAAACCTCAGTTCTTATTTAAATGGAAGATATTAAAGTAACAGTGAATATAGGTCAACTATCTATTTGCTTGCAAATTCTGAGCTCTTGGATTTTTTTTCTGAAAGTGCTTTAAAATATTCAAGTATGAACTGCTGTATTACAATCGTGAGACTACAAGATTAGAAAACTCACTTTGCCAAATATCACTGGCCAAATAGTTTTTATAAATTATATGGGCTCAACCATGCAAGATGTCAAATTATGTCACTGGAATTCAACAATTCCTTTGTGTACACTGATTACATATTACCTATGGATTAAGACACGCCGACAGTAGCCCCATATGCCAGCCAAAGGATTATTTAATGGAAAATAATTAAAGTGTTAGTCCCTCCCCAGCAGGTTACGAGGACGATGCACTGGCGGTCAGTTAATTCAGGAAGATAGCACCTGAATAATGTCTTAAAACAATTTTCCACTGAAAAAAAAGAACACACTGAATTAAGGTCTGCAAAACAGTTAATTGCAGTAAAAATAACCTAGCTCAGGTTTTTTTTTCAGCCAGCAATTATTTCAGCCAGCGGGCCACTTAATGAGTTTTGGCGAGTGGTTGAGGCTTACACACATGATATCTGCTGAAAGATTTTATTTTAACAAATTACAGATAAAAACCAAATCAGACTAAAAATCAAATATCCACTGTAACATTTTAATTTAATTTAAAAAGTCCCGATTTATGTTTTCTGTCCAGATTAAAATTTTTTTGAGTAGTGTATATTGATGCAATTGCATAATAGCTCAACGTCTTACTGTAATATATTGTGTGTGGGGGGAGGAGTGTATGTGTGTAGGGGAGTTTGTGGTGAGCGTATGTGTGTAGAGTTGGGGGAGGAGGGAAGAGGTGTGGGGAGCTGCCCATGCTCCAAGTCCCTGGAGCTGGCTACAAGTGGGAGTGTACGCACCACAGAGCTTGCCTGGGCACTGCAGTACAGCTGCAGGTGCTGATGCAGTCTGCCCTCCCACATTTGGCCCGTGGCTGCCCCTGCAGCACTCCACATGGGGCCAAGCCCCACCCAGGGCAACTTGCGCCATGCTCCTGCTACACACACCAACAGCTCTGACCCCAGCCAGCAAGTACAGCTTCTTGGCAGGGCAACTCCCACTGCTGCTGCAGCTATCTGGGTACTGCTTGGCTCCTCCAGCCACCAGCAGCTCGTCCTCCTGCTCCTGCTGTGTTGCTCTGAGTAGTGGGGAGCTGCATCCAGGCCACACCTGCCCCAGTGTGCAGGGCTTCAACTCCAGCTCCAAGCTACCTTCCACCCACAGGTGGCTCCTCATTGAGCTGGGTGGAAGGCAGCCTGGAGCTGGAGCCCTGCATGTGTGGGCAAGAGCAGTTCAACTACAGCTTTCCCCTGCCCAGAGCAGTACAGCAGGGGCAGGAGAAGGAAGAAGAGGAGCTGAGAAGTACCTGGGGGGCTGCAGCAGCAGTAGGAACAACCCTGCCAGGACACTGTGCATTCTGGCTGGGACTGGGGTGCTGCTGTTGGCAGGTGTGGTACAGGTGGGAGCATGATGCAGTCTGCCCTGGGTGAGAGTGGGTGTGGCTCAGCCCTATGTAGAACGCCATGAGGGCAGCCACAGGTCAGATTTTTAAGTCAATTGGCAGGTTAGATACAGCCCATGGGCTGTATTTTGCTCACCTCTGCCCTACCCCACATGCAGTTGGTAATTTAGGAAGTGGGGAATATAGGTTGAAGTAGGAATTATGAAAGTCAGGTCACAACTATCTTATACTTAATTCAACTTCACTTAAAATCATTCTGATTAGAGAAGTGTGTTCTGTATAATCCATGTTCTCCAAGTCCTTCAGAAGATGTGGAACTGGGAAATATTTAAGTGTTGATATTTATATATACTTTTGTCTCTTGGTACCCAAGAAATAGCAACTGCTCAGATTACATACCTATTGGGTAGATGATGACTTCCGAAAGTGGTACTCCCCCCGGGACCCACAAACAATCTCAGCCCTTCTTCTAAAAAAAGAAAAACAAGAAAAAAAAAGGCGTGGGGAAGGTAAACATGTTTAAACAAGCCCTTTTAAATTTGTTGCCTTGCAAAGAATATATATTAAGAATATATAGTTTAGAACTACCAGCTTTTTTTTTTTTTTTTTTTTTTTTTTTTTTTTTTTTTTTTTTTTTTTTTTTTTTAAGTAGATGCTCTTCAAAGCTATCACAACCTGCTCTCAACAGGTATGATTTAAGGGAGGAAGATTTCCCATAATCTTATATAATCTGTACAGTTCGTTGGCCTCCAAGGAAACTGCAAGGGTCACAGAATTCAGTTACCTGTCTCCCTACCCCCTCCACTCAGGAGATCACCCCAGAAAAAGAAACACCTGGCAGGTACCACCAATAAAAGTTCTCTTCCCACTAGCAGAAGCTAGGAAAGAATTAATTAAATTAGTGCTACTGTGGTCCTACTACCCAACACCTCTCTCATAAAAATACCTTCTGCACTGGAGTCTAAACTGAAGTCCTGACTCTGCAAAATTTTTTCAACAATATCATCTGCATCCACTCTGGTAGCATCAACCCGCTTCAACTGTGACTCCACAGAATCTTGCTTTACTGGATGCCTGCATGAACAGATGCATGCAGAAATTCAAAAAATAATGGTAAATATGATTAATCAGAACATAAAAATCACAGTAAGACAACTTTCAAGGTTTGTTAGGCTTACCTGCAGAGTTTTTCTGAAGAAGCATCTTTAACAGGTGTATCAAAATTATTATCAGTTCCTTTTGGCTCACTCTCTTCACATGGCTCTAGAATACTTCCAATTCCAGTTGATGTACTTCCTACTGAGGTGTTTCTCCTATGGGAGAGCTCAGAGAAACTGGATGATCTGGAGTGACATGTACTATACCCTAGTGGAAAAAGTAAGGAGGAGAGATAGATGCATTAATTATCTTATTAGTGGCTACGGCAGTGGCTCTCAACATTTTTAGACTCCAGACACCCCTCAGAAAATGACAGCTTTTAGCTTTCACTCATTTTTCCACCAAGGAAGAGATAGAGCAATCCTGTTGCAAACAACTCAGAAAGATCACACCAGGTGAGAATATTTTTGGGGGATTATTATTTGAAATCTCCAATCTTGTGAATCAAATGTAGGTGTTTGCATCCCTAACAGTGCTGTGTCACCCTTAAAAGTAGTTCTCAGCTAGGGTGCTGTGAGATCCTGGGTTAAGGGTTTTACTTTTCAATTTTCAAGGGGAAAAAAAAAAGTAGAAGAGCCCTCTCAAAAAGAGCTGTCAAGAGGTTTCAGGAAAAGGTGCACACATCCCATGCACCTTACAATTTAATGGTCTGCATCACCACAACATAAGTTTTCATCCATAGATTAGAAGCAGGTTTTACCTTACCTTTTTAATAAAACATGTATTAGGTTCATAATCATTCCATAAATGTCAGTACTAAATAACCACCACACACACACCAGGTCCATAAAGATAGCTCCCCCATCCCAAAAACTCAAATTAAGTTTAGTAAGAGAAAACTCACACAAACCCAAGTGTTTCTACAACCGTCGAGTTGAGTTTTGTGGAATGTCTAAAATACAGAAGCTAGCAAAAGCAATAATCTGTGAAGGATTTCTATAAAAAAACCTGCTACCTGACAGCTTTGATTGTTGGCTCGCATAGCTTGATGTCCTGGAATGTCCACATGCACCAAGTTCATCTGGGACGGAGGCACTCTTTGTTGAGAGATCTGTAACATATAAAGTTAAAAATTCAGCAGTAATATCATACCAGCAGAATTCTATGACTGATGAAGGCCAGAGATGCTTTCTTGTCTTGGAAGCCAAGTAAAGCTGGAACTTGATGCTGGTTAAATAAGAAACCGTTAAGGAAAAAGCCAGATGTTGCAAAAAGTGCTATTAATGTTGAAATAAACTGAACTCAAAAAAAAAAAAAAAAAAT